TCAAGCGATTCTCCTGCCTCAGCCTCCTGAGTGGCCGAGATTACAGGTGCACACGACCATGCCCGACTAATTTTTGTACTTTTAATAGAGACGAGGTTTCACCATGTTGGTCAGGCTGGTCTTGAAGTCTTGACCTTGTGATCCACCTGCCTTGGCCTCCCATAGTGCTGGGATTACAGGCGTGAGCCACTGCACCTGGTGGTTTAAAATTTTTTGTAGAAGTGGGCTCTTACTATGTTGCCCAAGCTGGTCTCCACCTCATGGACTCAGGAAATCTCCTATCTCAGCCTCCCAAAGTGTTGGGATTGCAGGCATGAGCCACGGATATATATATATAATATATATATATATTATATATATTATATATATAGTATATAATATATATAATATATATAATATAATATATATATTATATATATTATATATTATATACAATATATATAATATATATAATATATAATATATATTATTAAAAAAGAAAATTATATATATTATATATAATATATATATATAATTTTCTTTTTGAGATGGGGTCTCATTCTGTAACCCAGGAGTTGGAGGTTATAGTGAGCTATGATAACACCACTGTACTCCAACCTGGCAACAGAGTGAGATCCTGTCTCTTAAAAAAAACCAAACCAGGCTGGGCCTGGTGGCTCACGCTTGTAATCCCAGCACTTTGAGAGGCTGAGGCAGGTAGATTATGAAGTCAAGAGATAGAGACCATCCTGGCCAACATAGTGGAACCCCATCTCTACTAAAAATATAAAAAAATTAGCGGGCATGGTGGTGCATACCTGTAATCCCAGCTTTTCGGGAGGCGGAGGCATGAGAATGGCTTGCACCCAGGAGGTGGAGGTTGCAGTGAGCCAAGATCGCACCACTGCACTCCAGCATGATGACAGAACAAGACTCCATTAAAAAACAACAAAACAAAACCCAAACCACTTAATTACTAGAAAACAAGTCAGAAAGGAGGAATATAGACAAGATGAAACCAACAGAAAACAAATAGATGGTAGAGTTACACCAGATCATCTCAATAAGTTCAAGTGTAATTGGATGTCAGGTTTCTTTATAAAACATTAAATGATATGTTGTTCATCAGAAACACACTTTCAACGTAAAGACACAGATGACAGCAAAAGGATGGGAAAAGGATAGCATGAAAATATTAATTAAAAGAAAGCTAGAGGCTGGGTGCAGTGGCATGCACGTATAATCCCAGCAGTTTGGGAGGCCCAGGTGGGTGAATCACTTGAGGTAAGGAGTATGAGACCAGCCTGGCCAACACGGTGAAACCCCACCTCTACTAAAAATACAGAAATTAGCCAAATGTGGTGGCATGCGACTGTAATCCCAGCTACTCGGGAGGCTGAGGCGGAAGAATTGCTTGAACCCAGGAGGCAGAGGTTGCAGTGAGCTGAGATCGTGTACTGCAGCCTGGGTGACATAGTGAGACCTTGTCTAAAGAAAGAAAGAAAGAGAGAGAGAGAGAAGGAGGGAGGGAGGGAGGAAGGAAGGAAGGAAGGAAGGAAGGAAGG